TCATATCTCCTCTCATCTCCTCCTTTATCCTCCCATCTTCTCCTGTCTCTTTTCATCTCCTCCTGTCACATCCTGACTCCTCTCATCTTCCCATGTCTCCTCCTGTCTCCTTTCATCTCCTCCTTTCTCCTCCCGGCTCCTCTCATCTCCTCCCGGCTCCTCCTGTCTCCTCTCGTCTCCTCCTGTCTCCTCCCATCTCCTCCTTTCTCCTCCTGTCTCCTCTTGCCTCCTCCTATCTCCTTCTGTCTCCTCCTGTCTCCACCTTTCTCCTCCTGTTTCCTCCATCTCCACCTGTCTCCTTCTTTCTTCTCCTGTCTCTTCCCGTCTCCTCATATATTCTGCCGTCTCCTCTTTTCTCCTCCCACCTCCTTTCTGCTCTTTTCTCCTCTTCTCATTTCTCATCCTTTCTTCTCTTTTCTCCTCGTATCTCCTCCTTTCTCCTCCTGTCTCCTTGTTTCACTTTCTTTCTCCTGTTTTCTCCTCATGTATTATCTTTCTCATCTTTTCCTCAACCTTTTTTTTGTTTCTCCTCCTTTGTTGTCCTTTCTCTCTCCTGTATCCACTGCACACCCTCCTCAGAGTATTATGGGATGGATTTCAAATGGCAGGGTGGCACTGAGACGGTAACAATACAGCCATGTGTGTGTGTTTGAGTTTTTGCTGGAGGCGACTGAAACTCTGTAAAAGCAGGACAGAAGAAACACCCCGACTCTCATTTTAAAGCGATAGTTCAGCAAAACTGTAATTACTCTGATATTTGATCAGCTGAGACGCGTTTGGTGTGAAGTTCTTCTCGAGTCCCTGTTTACAGATAACAGCGAATCAGAATCACATAATCAATAAGTCTGTTAGAGATACTGAACAAATCCACACACTCAGAGTGTTAGCACAGTGCTAATTGGTGGGTTATAAACTTCCATTACTTGATAGCTAGGGCCATCTACAAAGGCTATAGCCAATAAATAGCAGCTTAATCAGTATCTAATAGTTTGTCAATGCCAATAATAATGTAATTGTTTCTTGTATGTTAATAAATGCTACAGTTTTAATTATTAACTGTTTACTGAGTCATTAATCACTAACATGCAGGTGATACAGTACATACAATAAATATATTATAAAGTTGCAACTCTAATTAATGATATTAGTACTTAAAATAATAAATATTAACCACTAAATAATGTAAACTAAGCATTAAAGAAAAGTTTGCATCACAAATTAGCAAGATTATTTAATAATTTTGTTAACGAATGAATCATAATTGACAAACTATAATTAATGATCAGGTTTCTACAGTTATAATTATTAACAAACAAACTGTTTGATAACGATTAAACTGGTGTTTATTAACCCTCTGTGTTCTGATTCATTCTCTCTCGATTTGTTCATCTCCTCTTAAACTCTCCTCTAAAGGCTCTTCATATTTCATGATCCTCATATGTTTCATATCTAAATGCTCCGTTATCTTCATCACTACTTTCCAAAACCGCTGCAGCAGCTTCAGCAGCTGTAAACTCTCTGCAGGCCGTTTCACATGAGTCTCCGATGTGGACTGAATGAAGAATGAAGGGTTTCCGGCGTGATGGTCAGTCCTTAGTGATTTCCTGAGTGTCCATTGGTCAGTTTCACACAGAATGTAGACGGACACACCAATCCACCAGCTCCACATGGTGAGAGGCAGATGACGTGTATCTCAGCCCCTCTTCATAGGCTCATAACTCCGGATGTGAGTCTCGTATGATCTCGTGATAAGATGGAATGGAAAGGGCGACTCTACAGATTCAGGAAGTGTTTGAACTGGATTTCTGAGCTGGATCATCACAAAGATACAGACACAGATATAGAGACAGAGAATTTGACGTGTGGGCGAGTTTGTGGACCCCAGAGTGTTAGTGCTGTTATTATGAATATCAGTGCAGAGCTGAGACTCTCAGTGTGTCCCGGTTGATGTGGTTCATCCTCCGGATGCGTTTGAGCTCTGAAATGTCCCCCTAACAGGAGGCACCTCTGTAAACGGCGTCGCCACCTGAATAAAGCGCTGATGGTTCTTTTCTTCTGCGTTTATCGCTCCTCTGTCTCTGAACACAGTGACCTTCTAAGGTTTCTGTTTGGTAACAGGTCAACCTTTACACCGCGTCACTGAGGGTCACCACACAATGCTGAGCGGCACACGCCCAGTACAGTCATCACACGTGTGGTGATGTCAATCTGGGATGGTCAGGAGGGTCCAGTTTCATTTACACATCAAAACCACACCAAAACCTCCTCTGTGACATTTTGGTTGTTGTTTGTTGTTGTTTGTTGTTTGGTTGATCGTGGTGGTTGTGTTATTGTTGTTGTTGTAGTAAAGGTCTAAACCAAACTCAAACCAAAACAAACAGGAAGCTGCCTGAAGACCTCTGAGCTGAATCTGAACAAAGAGTCATGAGATAAAAGAAAAAGCCACTTACACGGTTTTCACGAAGAGCCTGACATGGTGGAGTTGTAAAGTTTGGTTTAG